CAACTATCTTTATCAGGCCTTGTTTGTCTCCTCTTTCTCTCTTTGTTTCTGTTCAGCTGTATCCTTCTGCGTTTACACTGCGCCCCTACAGCCCTCATTCTATGCTCATCATCTATCATTATTTTGCTCGATACCTTTACCTGTTACATAATGTTCTTTATATCATTGTTACTATATTGTTATTATTACTATTATTACTATTATTATTATTACTATTATTATTATTATTATTATTATTACGCTAATTCATATTCGCCTCACCCTGCAGCTGCGCCGGCGCCCGCTTCGGTGCATCCTTCTCCGTTGCTGCTGCTGCAGCAGCAAAAGCAGACAAAATCACTGCATCCCCATTGTAATAGCCATCCCCCATCGTTCCCCAACAACCACCAACAGCAGCAGCAACAGCAGCAACAGCAGCAACAGCAGCAACGTTTGCAGTTGCAGCACCAATGAGCCTTACCAGAAGGTCCTGCAGGTATGGAAGGGAACTCCGCATCCGCCGGGCGTCCTGTGTATACACAGCGCAGCCTCAATTCGTGTGTATGCATGCACGCATGCATGCAAGCGAGTATAGAAACAGAGAAGGATGGTTGTGCATCAGGCATGGGTCAGAGTAGCCATAAACTGAATACCAAACCCACCTGAAGAGGAGGGCCCAGAACTTCTTGACGCCGCGACGCTCTTTTTCACAGGAGAAGTAGGAGCAGTTCGCTGGAGCTGCTGCTGCTGAAGCTGCTGCTGCTGAAGCTGCTGCTGCTGCATGGGCGTTGGTGGGGGTACAGACGCTGCAAGGCCTTTGGGGGCCCCTTGAGACCACGCCGTCGCCCCCAGAGGCAACGCTGTATTGTCTTTCTTGGGAGCAGCAGAGGCAATGAAGTCCTGCAGCGACTGTGTGTTACCCTTCAGCTTCCCCTTCGAGCCGCCCCCCCCCTTTCGCGTGGCTGCTGGGGTTGTTGCGTCGCTGCCGCCAGCCAAAGACGCTGCCCTCACAGCAGCAGCAGGAGCTGCACCGGTTGCACCTCCTGCTGCAGGTGTTGCTGCTGCAGCAACAGGGGCACCAGCAGCACCACCAGCAGGCGTCATGATGGACGGAGTTGCTGCACCGCTGCTGTACGGATTCGTTGCCCCCTCCAGAAGATCAGGAAAATCTTCAGAAGAACCAACAGAGGGGGCCCCGGGGCCCCCCAGGGACCCCGGGGTCCCCCAGCCAGCAACGCTCTGGCCGTTGCTATCCTTTCGCTGCAGCGTAGCCCAGCGTAAGCGCGCAGCAGAGGCCTCNCAGCAACGCTCTGGCCGTTGCTATCCTTTCGCTGCAGCGTAGCCCAGCGTAAGCGCGCAGCAGAGGCCTCTTGCTGCTGCTGTTGCTGCAAACGCAAGAAACAAACAAGCCAATCGACATGCAAATAAAATAAAGATGCTGCAGTAGCAACGGATAGAAATGGAATCAATAAAAAAACAAAAATACAGCAGCGGCAACCAAAGAAAGAAGCCGAATCAATATGAATATACAAACATATATACACCAGAAACAGACAAAAGAACAGAAACCACATGAAAATACAAACAAAGAGGCGAGAAAGAAAGGCAGAGAAACCAACAGAAAATACAAGCAAAGAAGCAGCAATGATGGAAAAAGATGAAATGCACAAAAAAATAGAAAAAAAGAAACACAGCCAGCAGCAGATCCTTCGCGTGCAGATAGAGATCCAACAGCCCCCAGTTGCTGCTGCGGCGGCACAGCAGCTGAATACCAGGGCGCAGCAATAGAAGCAGAATCAGCAGCAAGGGAAACGACTGCAGCAACAGCAGCAGCAGCAGCAGCAGCAGCAAACGCAGAAGCAATGCAGTGCTGCTAGTCTTACAGCCCTCAATGCCGCCTCTTCTTCTCTCCTTCTTTCTTCTTCCTCTCGTGACTGTTCAGCACTCTGCAGCTCCATTACCTCTTTTAAAGTTACATTTGGGCGGCTTGCTGCAGCAGCAGCAACAGATACCCAGGGGGCAGGGCCCCC